CCCACGCACACAAAGACACACACATACGCATACGCACACACACACACACACACGCACACACACACACACACACTCGTGCGCATATACACTACTTCAATTATATTAATCCCCTTTACCATCTCACACTACTTCTATCGTCAACTATAATAGAATATTATTATTCTTTCAAGAACATTATGCCTTCCAATTAAATTGTTGAAATAAAGACAGTCCGACCTGTGAAATCTAAACTTCTTTTACGTATGAAAACCAAGATTGAGTCACTCGAGATTTTGCGAGATTATTAATCCCGCTGGTAACCAACAACAACAAGTATGGCGTCTTATGTCGGGAAAAATGCATAACTCCCTCAGCCTGCTTGATTGAATGATTTAACATGAAAATTGGCTAGTGTCAAAACATTTGGGTTCAGTGAAAATTCAAGATGGATGAAAGACATTGGTGGATTGCTGGAAAAATCCAGGAAAGCTTCAAGCTTGGCAGCTATGATAATCCGACCCTGCTCGAGGATTTCATGTGCGAAGAGACAACCTTAGCCAGAGTCAATAAATTCCTCAAAGCAGGCGGGCCTTGCCGTCTGTTCTTTTATTGTGAGAAATCTGATGGATCAGAGGTTACAACCAGAGAAATTCATTGCACTGGAAACTTAGCCACTCTCAAAGATGTGGAGCTGGACAGAGTTACCGTTCTGTACTTTCTTCGAAACAGGACTGAGAAAGATGTTGATCCTAATCGAATGGAAAAGGATATATTCTGCGGGGAACTGAAGCATAACACAATAGAAACACTCAATGCTTTGCTTGCAGATATTTACATCCCTCTTATTCGAGCTCAGAAAGACTGGGGTCAGAGCAATGAAGAGAGTCAAACAAGTCTCATGCATAGTATGGACAAATTTGTCACTGCCCTGAACGAGACTGCCGCATCTATGTCACATTCAAAACAATGGGTAAGGTAGTGTGTTGGTTGCTCTATTGTATATATATATATAATTTTCTGTTTGTTCCTCCCCACCCCTTTATTTTGTTATAACTGCTTTCACTTGCACTTTACTGCGAAGCTAAATTGCATCACATTGTATTATCGGTAGACCTGCTCCCAATTCATGAGTGATTTTAATTTTTGTCAATACAGTTCTGCTTTCTAAAGACTGGTTTAAATATCTGCACAGTGCATAATTCTGGCAAGTCTAAAGCTATTTTGTGGATTTTTCTCGAAATGGTTGAATGGAATTGCAGATCGACATACTATGGAGACCGGTCATTTCGTGGCATGGTCATCTCGTCACACCCCAATTATGTGTGACGAAATGACTTGGCTTATCTCTTCAAAATTGTCATGCTAGTAGAGTTTTGAAGGATCAGTGCCAGCAATCTTTATTGTAAATCCCAATTCAAGCACGTAATCGTTCGGCTGTGCCCTCTTGTTTTTAAGAAATTTAAAACCTAAAATTAACTGCCCTCACCCTACCCCTCCCACCAATAAAAGAACTCAACAAAACTCATCGAGAGCGAGGAAAAAAAACAAAAAAAAAAACCTCACTCAGTTATGAACAAGGCTGATCAAGGCACGATGACCCGCACGCCCTCTCCCCCTCCCTGTCCTTCCACACACCACCCAACCCTCCCCTCAAAAATAGTGATTTTTGCAATTACCATGACAATGCTTGTTTGATGTTTGCAAGTGTGTGACGAAATGACTGTCTCCATTCAACCTTGTGGGTTTGGGGAGTGACGACTGTGACGTCTTGACTGCACTGGTGTGACAAAATGGCCATGTGACGAAATTACTGGTATCCCTTAATTACTGCTATCGATAATGGGATTGAGATCTCAATCTAATCCATCACTTAACACAGCAAAATTATTACTACTTAGAAAACGACTATTTTGGATGGAAATATGTCATCCTGTCTTTGAGACAGACCAGATATAATGGGCATGAAAGAAATACAGATTTGATTTAGTCAATCATGTAATGTATAGTGTATAGCCATGCCTTGAGACAGCTCAGGCCTGAATGTATTTTTACATTTTCAATTTCTCTCTATTAACATTATTAATTCTCATCCATCAGATGCTGAGACAACCAGAGAATGTGATTCTCAATGATTTCAAACTTCAGAGAGCGGCAGCTCTGGACCCTCATCTGATTGGTCAGTATGAGGAGCTGGTGACTGAGTGGATGAATACCATTGATGCTATTCTTAGTGACACATCTGATGAAAGGTAATATGTTCAAGAAAGGGTGTATCGATATATTACTATGTAGAGAAAATATTATCGTCATGTACTGTCAAAGGATCAAAAGCTATATGTGCACGAATTATTGTGACAATAACAATTATAGTGGATATTCCTCTTCACTCCTCTTTCTGCAAGCCTTGGCAGGAGTTCAATTCAAGTTTGTTATTTATTTCCAGGACTGATAACTCAACATTTGTAAAACAATTGAGTAGCATAATCTGAAAACACAGTCAGCGGAACTGTTCTCATAGTTTTGCTGAGCTGATTTTACTTGAACTAAAATGATTCTGTTATGAAAGGAATGACCTAAACTGCCAGTTTAGAATTTACTTTTACATCTGTCTTTTTATATGCATCACTTGGACACCAAATTGGATATCAGTTCGTTTTTTAGAGTACTCAAACGTGTATTCTTCCTTTTTGCTCACAGAAGGTTTTTCAAGATGACCCAAGTGTGGGATATCTTGACACAGTTACTGTTTAGAAGTGAAGCCTTGAAATTTATTGTTATAAAAGCTATTTCTCTTTTTTCTTCTCCCTCAAATTAGTTCTGCAGCTGACTAAGCTTGATTTGTGCATGTATATATACAGAGTTTCTCTTGAACTTTTTTTGGCAGCCAAGAAGTTTGAAAGCAAAATTTTCCTTTATCTAGTGTGTTGAACTTTCTCTTCATGTGCATGTCAGATTTCTCGATCCAAATGCTGGGCCTCTGTCTGAGCTGGAAAGATGGCGAAGGCGCCAGCGGCTGCTGACCAACATCACAGAACAGCTCAAAGGGAAAGAATGCAAGGCTGTGCTTGCTGTCCTCATCACTGCCAAATCAAGATTACTGAAAAAGTGGAAGATCACTGATGCATGGTACATTTTTTTTGTTTCTTTAACTTTTTTATGTTGCCATTTTTGGGGAGTACTGGAAAAATTTTTGAAAAATATTGTCACAAATCTCTGACGATAAAGTTTTGTAATAGTTCATTATCTTTCTTATCACTTTTTATGTTCATTTGCCGCCCATTTAACATGGACTGTGATTCTTAAAAATTTGACTTAAAATTTTTCCTTCTGAAATCTGATTGTAATTTGTTAATAATATATAAATGAAGTGTTGTACGCAGATGTTGTAGGTACCTTGACACTTAAAATTTGAATGACTTTGATATTTGTTCTCCAAAAGCTAAGCACTTTGCATAGATAACTTTTTTTGGACTATCGTTCTCTTTCTTTTGATCTCATGATTTTGCAAATGTTTTGTAGTTAAACTTTGTGGTGGTGCCCATATGTTTTTCAGTTGATTAGTTGTTTTATTTATGCTGTTGCAGTATCACAGATGCCATGAATGACACCAAAGACAAAGTGAAGTATTTGGAATCACTGAAAAGACATTTTGATCAGATGTATCAAGATGCCAGTCCATCTTCTATCATCAACGTTGCTCTACCTGGGCTAGCCAACACAATCAAGCAAATGGACTCAATCTCACGGTTCTATGCAAGGACAGGTTTCCTGGGCATTTTACTCACCAAGGTAAACACTATACTGGAATGACTTTTGACAGGTTTAGTATACGGGCCTTTAGTATAAAGGAGATAAATGAAGTCCTAAGGCAGTAAATTAGGGAATGCCACAGTAAGGTCCCCATCTGTCTTTTCATCTCTGTAAATTTCTGTGGATTTGTCTGCTGCTGGCCTGTCTCAATTTTGCTGCCTTCTCAGTTTTCGTAAATATTACTTTTATTACACAATATTTTAAGATAACATTGCAGAAAAATTGCATAATTACCGTCACAAAAATTTAATTTGTTTTCAAGAAAACATTTATTCAAATGATTTTGTTTCATAGGTGACGAACCAGCTGGTCCAGGCCTGCAAAGACTACATCAAGCTGTCCACCCACAATGTGATGGAGGACAAAGATGAACTGTGGGACAGGGTGGCAGAGGAAGTGTCCACAAGAGATCTCTTGAACCAGGGGGACCCCAACATGAGAGCTCTTGGCAAGCAAGTTGAGAACAAGCTGAAGGTCAAGAAGATTCATTGTTTTTTTCAAGGCAGACATTTTCTTGTTTGTTGCCCTGACAGCTATGATGGACTATTTGTTAGGAGTACAGTGAATAGAAGAAAATTGTGTATGTTTGCATGCTAGAATGTGTATCAGTGCCTGTTTGTTTGTGTGAGTGTGTGTGTGAGTGTGTGTGTATGTGTGAATATAATGTTTTATTTTTCTGCATCGACATAAGGTCGAGGTCGTGTTGAGTTCTGACTGCAAAATTTTTTATTAGGAAAAATACAAGCACCTGTTTCTAATGTCGACAGACATAAACAAGTAAATAAAAGAATAATTTATTGATGTATTGGAATGAGGACAGGAAGACTAATTGTTTTTTCAAATCCTCATTAATAGATGCTTAGGCTTTTGATCTCGAAAGTCGAGGCGAGTCTGAACCCAGGAAAATACGAATACATAGTCTCATTGTATTGAAAGCTCTGTAAAGGCTGGATCATATTTATCTCTCTGTACTATAATTCTGGAAGATTTTCAACAATTATATATGTAGCACTTAGTACTTGTTACTCTCATAGTTCATCTAGCGAGTCTTTTATTCCTTTACTATTCTAAAAATGTGTCACTCATATCAGTACGTTTTGTGTCCCCCCCCCCTGCTCAGACGCCGTCACGAGGCCGTCCCAAGGACTCGAGAGAATCAACTAGTGTGGAAGACACACTGTTCTCCAGGCTCAGGTCCTGCCTTTCCCTGCAAGGCTTCTTCAGAGATCTACTGCGGTCTCTCAGAGACTCTCTCGGAGCGTCGCAAACTCTCTCCCACTTTTCCTCTGTCAGCAGTTTCTCCACTGCTAACCAGCCGCACAAGTAAGAATTGCATGTGCGGGGCATTGTTGTTAGAAGTTACAAGCTATGTATAAACATTCATACTTTAAACTTCCTATGCACTTTTTGTTTCTTTTACAATTTTGTGTTTCAAAGTTGTTTGAGATAAAAAGGTGTGTATATGACATATCTTTGTTGTTTTCGTTTTTTTACTGTGTGTGAGCAAAAACATCCACTTATCTTTTAAATTCTGTGTGAAATCAAACACATTTGCTGTCTTACTAATTTTTATAGGAATATATGGAAAAAATGTAGCATTTTGAAAAACCTGCATGAACTATAAGGTTTTCTATTTGAAAATCTTTGGGTATTTATTGTGCTCCTTCTGAAGTCTGAAGGAAAAAAAACGCTGATTTATGCAGGTTGAAGGAACTTTCCAAAATCGTTTTCTTTCTTTATAATCTCCATAAAAAATGTCTACGAGATTCTCTATGTTATTCGAGCTCACACTTTCTAACATAGTGGGTGGCCCTGGTTTGAATCCACGTGAGGTGTTCTTGAACTTAGTTTTTTTGGGAATCTATTAGACTCGCTTCCTAATTGGTTTTGTCCTATTGGAGTGGAAGTTAAATTTGAAGGTCTCGTCTGTAACCTTACTTTTTTGATTAGGGTATTAAATCTATATAACGATACAGTTTATACCATATTTTAATTGCATGTTTGATTAATTTGTTGATGACATTCTGAGTTCGCTGTGGACTTTACAGGAGACAAAGCATAATCCCAGGCTCCCGGAATCAGATGTCTCCATCTAAGAAGGGAAATGATGGCACAGGACATGGAGTCCCAATTGCAGATGAGGATGCCATTATGGCTCATTTTGACACTTTCTGTGCTCGAGTGCGACAAGTCTTGGAGGTTATAAACACCATGGCACAGTTCAACATGTAAGAAAATGTGATATTTTATAAAGCTCCAGTGTTTAAAATGTAATCTAATCTATGTGTGTTTTCACATCTGTTCTTGTGTTTTCTCATCTATACTAGCGTTTCAACATCTATTCTTGTGTTTTCATCACTCATTTAGTTGGAATATGTATAAAACTTGTCAGTGCTTGTAAAAATGGACACTTAAAAAAAAAAGTAAGGATGTGTACAATAGTTTGTATAACTTGTTTTGTTGTTCCAACTTTTGATATGAAAGTACAATTTTTGGGTGCTGTGGTTTTCAAGCACCAGAACCTATGGTTTTGACTACCTAATAATATTACAAATTCTGTTCTTGTTTCATTTTAGGATGGGCAAAAGTTTGGTTGGGATTCCTCGACCCCGAAAAGAGGACCTTATTGTTGATGACACCTCAGAGCCTGACTACAAGCAGAAAAAGGCCAAAGATCCTCTCACTGGTCAGGCTTTTAAAAATACTTTTTTTTTACTGTTTAAAATGTTGTGTGGGAGTATGGTCTGCTTTTAACTATTACTTATATATAGTGTAAGTATGTTGACCAACAAACAAGACAATGGAAATTCCTCTCAAGCTTCTCTGTGGTACCAGAATTCAAATAAGTTATGAAAATACTCAACAAGTGGTCGTGTTGGTTGTTTAAAAGATAAAAGAAGGGTTTTGGAGTGGGTTTTTTTCTGTGGCTGTTAAGTCATTATGCAGAGCTTATAGCATTAAAATGTAGTTGTGTGCAGGTAAAGAGAATACATGAAATGTGGGAGTGGGAAGGCTGTTCTTCACTTTTTCAAAACCGTTCCAAAATTATTCATTACCCTTTCAAGGCAATTCCAACCTTGTTCTCACAGAGTTACTGGAAAGGGATGACTATGACGATGATGACATGTTGGGCCCTCCCATTCATGTGACGGCCCCAACTGACCGGCCCCTTCATGCCATTGACGAAGATGAAGAGCAGGCCCAGAGCGAGGCTACAGACAACAAGACAAACACCAACACCGAGCGCAGCCAGCGTGATGACCACCAGGACTCTGGCAACGATGGTCCCAAGGGCTTGACAGAGGAGGAGTTGGACATTCTGAGTAAGTTTCGAGACCCCTTGACTAGGCTTTTATACATGTGCAGGCTGATGGGTACTGTAGCGTTTGCTGTTACGTCAGACACGCACTCTTTGTTCGTGTATTGTTGGACACCTAGAAATAATTCCTATTATTTTTCTTCTGTAACTGCAGTGAGGTAAAGGTACCATTTATTTATACCAATAAGTTTTGATAGTGAAAGTTTTAATAGTCTTGTGTTATATAATATGCTGTGGATGAGTTTTGTAAAATACCATTGATTAAAGAATTTGAAAAATGTAAACTTCAATTTTTATTGAGTTTTTTTAATAGATCATGAAGTTCAGGGTGCAGATTGTGGAAAATAAACCCTAAAAAACTGGAAAGTTTTTAATCGATTTCGGCTAGAAAATAAAAATTGTTCCTCAAGAACCTAGCAATTGGAATTGACATAATGGATGTTTCCATTTGGTAAGCCTGTTTAATGTCAGAAATATTATAGATGGACACTTGACAGAAATGCTGGTGTAGGTAAGGAAGTCATTGATGTGGACGAAGATGAAGGAAAGGTGATTTTATAGATGGTTGTTTGTACTCTATAGACATTTCAGAATTAAATCCTGCGTGTGACAGAGTAATACAGCACAATGACTCATGATTTTGCTTGTCAACAATGAGTTCATGCACATGAGTTTTTGAGGCATTGTAATGGGCTACTAATGAATTTGTTGTTATGTATACATATCCTCTAAGGGTTTGTGGGGTTTTTTTTATTGACAAGTATTATGAATTGACAAACTGATTTGACCCTGTCCCTACTTTGATTTCAGTCTATGCTCAAGAGGAATCAAAACCATACTATGTGAGATCCAAAATTGAGTCCACAATTTTTATTCAACTCTATTTTGGTCACTTTATTTGTTTTGGGATCAACTTTGTCAAGTGCTTTATGTTTGATGTTTAAGTATCAGTTGAAAGTAGTACAGTCGAACCTGTGTAAGACAGAATCGCAAGGGAGCCAGAACTTGGACATTTTCCGTCTTAGACATTTTCCATCTTTTCCGGAATTAAGGGGGGGGGGGGGGGTGGAGTTCAAAGGCCCAGCCGGTAAGATCAAGGATGGCTTGTCCGATCGGCAAGCAGTGGTCAAAACTTCACACCTCTCAGCTGCTGTCCTCTCTGATAGTGACATGCGTCAGTCTTACTTATCCAATTACCACCAGTGCTTGCCTTTCATACGACCACTGTTTGACCTATTAAAACAGGAACGTTTGAAGATCTCCTTTGCTTCCACCCTTAGCCTCACCCACCAATGCCACCCCTCACTGCCGTCATGTAACAACGATTCGAGGAACTCTTTTCTCGGCTGGCATCGGTCAATCTAATTTCACACTTCTGGCTTCTTGCTACCCAAGAAAGTTTCCGTAGTGGCTCGCGACTCGAGCACTCTCACGGGCAGTCGTGAGATTTCACACCCACACTACACTGACCATCTGCATCACTCAGGGCTCAGATGATGGGTAACATCTACCCCCAAATTGCACCCCTTCCTCGGCCACCAGCATGGCCATAGCGTTAAGTTTAGAGCCCTCGGAACCAAACTTGCGAGTTTTGTTTCAAATCAGGGTTGAGCGGTCAAAGCATTTTAACCATCTTAGACAGGTGAAACCCTCGGAAGGGAGCAGATTTTTCTTTCCGTTTCCACGTTGGACAGGTTTCCGTTTTATACAGGTAATTAAAGAGGAATATATCAAGGGGGGAGCAGGAAGATTCCGTTAAGACAGGTTTCCGTTTTACACAGGTTTCCGTTAAGGCAGGTTCGACTGTACTTCATTCTTTTTAGGTAAATATCACCCAAACTCAGTGAAGGCCCAAATAGAATACCAAGAAAGATTTATAAAAAAACACAATACAAAAGCTGGAAAAAGAGGATAACTACTTGGCAGTTAACACTTTGCAGTCACACAGCCGGCAGTGCAAAATACCCAATCTGGTCACCCAACCAGGAGAGTGACTGCAGTGAACTTCTCGGGCCTGGTGACCTGAACGGATAATTTTCACTGTCACACTATTGCGCTAAGTGACCGCAAAATGTTAATGAATTGGAGCCCTTAAATTTTGAAATAGATGAATTGCTGGTCTTATACATTACAGATTTTTGAAAAGAAGTTTGCAATTATGCTTGATTTCTTTTTGGCTGTGATTGCATATGAAATGATTCTTTGTTTTTGTTATAACTGTACTTTTATTGCTTTAATTTGGTGAATATTTTAAAGTCCAGTTACCGGGGTGAAAATGTATCGGGCCTGCACAACAATTTAAGTGAATATGAAGGCCTATCTGCGCAATGCAAGTTTGATTTAATGAAAAATCAAATACAGTGTCTGTGCATTTTTTTCAACTGAATATTGTTTCGGTTTTATATTGTATTTCTTTGTCTTGTCAATGTCTTACTGAGAAAGTGTTCACCATATAGAGATGTAAATAGTTCATGAACCTGCACATCACATTTTTTAAACTTTACTTTGACATGTCCACATTTATTGCTACAATTCTGATTCACTTTTATTTCTACTAAAAGTTGTTTTTTTAGATAAATTTTCTTTGTCCGTTCCATGCTGGAATTTTATACAGTGAACAATGATTCTTTTTTTGTTTTTTCCGCACTTATTACCCATAAAGTTTTGATTTTCCGTATTTTTCCCTTTACTATTTCTATCTGTGTTGTTCTATCAAATTCTTTTTCTTTTGACGGGCTACACTGAAGTATTCTTCTTTTTATGACTATTTAATTTTGTTTGCATACCACAGTAAAACGTGTTGTTGTTATTGTTCAGCCAACATTTGTATGTTTACTCCTTGATCTATTGTCACAATGATGTGAGCAAGTTAGTTTCACTTGTTGGTTCATCTTATAGACTTTGTGTTCAGTGTATGCTCTTGAAAAGAGAAAAATACTTCTGATATGCTTTAGTTCCTAATGGAATACTGTGGGTGTATTGGGGTAGTGTGGATGAAAACTTCTCCTGGTGGGATTGTATTCACAGACAAGAAATAATAACCGAAGGAGATAGCAGACACTATCATTTTTGTATTTGTAATTTGTTTTAAAACTGTTTGCTCTTGCTTTTTGTGTAACACAGTTGAGGGGTTGGTCATTATGAATATGTACTTTTCATTTTCACTACTTTATATGATGTCGATATTTGCAATGTTTTAGATATGCGGAAACAGATGGTAGGGGCACAGATTCTAATGGTTCTTAGAGCTTCGTAGAGAAGGTGTAGTCATTCAAAAGAATCGGATGGAGCGGTATAGTCATTCAAAAGAATCGGATAGAGCGGTATAGTCATTCAAAAGGATCAGATAAGAGTGGTATAGTCATTCAAAAGGATCGGATAGAGCTTTGCGTTCTTATTAAGAATATTTTGTTCAACACCACAAAGTGTTTATAACAAATCCAACTGTTTGACAGGAGAGTATTACCCTGAAGAGGAAGACCTAGAAGGCCCCAGTGTGTCCAGTGTTGTGGAGCAGCACGTCAACAAGATGAACGAGGCCATGAAGGAGTATGTCACTACCAAGACCATGCTAGATGTGGAGTCAAAGGTGGGTGGTTGTCGGGTGCTCTGGTGTGGTTTGCTCCTTTTTTCGTATCAAACATCTATCGCCCTTATCTCTCCTCCTTCATTTTTGTGTTTGTTACTCTCTTGTAATGCCTGTAATCTTTGGCAGTTGTTTGACCTTATTGTGTTGCTAGTGCTGTAAAAGTCTTACTAAAACTGAAAGGTAGGAGTATTTGCCCACATCTCTACCTTAAGCTGCTGTCCAAAGGCAGAGTGACAAAAAGGGAGTTTGTTTGGTTTTATATCCTTTCGTGTCAAACACAGGACAATGTATTTTTATTTGAAATAGTAGTTTTTTAAAGTGATAAAGCTTCGTATGTGATTGATCACACTAGTACATAGTATTCTTCAAATTTTTCTTAAGATCATGAATATATGCTGTTATGTTGCTTTGCCTTTGGACAGAGAAAACTATGGTTTAGCACTACTTATGCTTTTTATTCTTCATTTTATTTCTCTAAGAAATGATTGATCTGGAATACGACCACAATCCCGGTCTTGTATTAAAAGTTTGCAATAAATGGCTATCCATTGGGAGAAAATGTTATGTTATGTAACCTTTTTGTTAAATACGAATTAACTTTGCGGTATGTCATGTTCATAGTGTTTTCTATCTTCCTCAACTGCTTTCACTCTGTTTGACAGTGGCTATTAATTCTTTACACTAGATTCTACATACTAGTTTAAAAGGGCCATAATTCTTTCTCTTTCTAAAGATACTGTTCCCTTCCTGATCTCTGGTGACCTAGAAATTTAATCTTTTCACCTGTCATTTCATTGGTATATTATTTTTCTAAATGTAATTTGAATAAGTAATCTTCTGTGTCTCAATTAATTGACTCTGTGCATTCTTATTTCTTTTTCAGGACAAAGACCGCTTCGACACTCATTACAAATCATTCCAATGCATCGTTCAAGATCTCGAAAAATTTCTCTGCGCATACCTTCATGTCATTTTCATGAGAAAGATGAAGACCCAGCAAGGACTGGATGTCATCACCAAGTAAGATTTAATACTTGTCATCTTATCTTCACTACAGGATTTCCCTCTGTCTGTGAAAGTGACAGAAAACTGTGGTCATACTAATGTCAGAAACTGTTTGCCATTGCTTCATCTCTAGCCCACCCCAGTCTGATCACTGTTCCGTAACCCGTTTTCCTGTGATATGGCCCATCCTTCAAACTGTCTCTTACTAGGAAATACAGAAATCTATTTTATGACAGAATGCTTTAATCACTTCTGTAGAATGTTTTGGAGGGAATTTGTACAGGAAAGAAGTTTGACTTTATTGTTCCTTTAAATCACTTTCAGGTTCAACCCCATTGCTGGCCGATCTGGTGTGAGGGGCACTGTGGCGGAGAAGTATGTCGATATCTTTGGATGGTACGAGGGAGATCTCGATGAAGTGCAGAAGATTTATGAGAAACACAAGGTGAGGATTTGGAAGCCGGAACCATGACTGAAAAAAAATGAAGTAAAAATGTTATGGTACAGAAAATGTGGTCCTCTTTTTGTTTTTTTCTTTCTTTTTGGCCCCCCTCTTCAATGTTTTAGCATCCTGGATGTCCCTGATGCTGGTCAGTGAAAAGGAACATAAATTATGCGAATGTTAGAGTAACATCTCATGGAACATTCCCCCTCTCCACTTTCAAGTGGGTAAGTAGCTTAAAAATGATTCTGCTGCCTAGTAAGAGGTGGTATCAATCACCTCAGGAAAGAACAAAAGAATGTTCAATCAGATATGCACTGACACAATCTGTAGAAAAACCCTCAGGGGCATTTTGAAGAGAACAACGGAGCATCAATGGACGTGTCTGGAATGCAAGGATGTTGCTTCCTGAAACAATGAAACAATGAAACAGTGATGATATAGCAAAGATGAACATGTTCTTAAAGATGTGCTTGTGTGCTGTTTTGTGATGTTTGCTGTGGGATACCATCTCTGTCTTCTTTCCTTTTTTCTTCTGTCTTCTTTTCAACAACCACTAGACCCAGCGTTCTGCCTTAAAAATGACATATGTGGATGTGAGCAGTAATCTTGATTTCTCTGTTGAAAAGGAAAGGAGAACTTTGTCAGACTTGATCCAGGTGTGTGGACCTATTTATATGGGTGGTTGGAGGCACCTCAAGACAGTTTGTGCCTCAGCTGTGTGCGTCCTACCATCTCGTGTTTTTTTCCAAGTCCTGTATGATGATCAATATATCTATCTGTTTCTTTGTGACTCAAATATCAAAACAAATTGATCATCAGGTGGTTGGCGGGTGTTCTGGTGTGGTTTGCTTCTTCTTTTCTATCAAATATCTTTCGTCCTTATCTCTCTTTCTTTTTTGTGTTTGGTGCTCTCTTGTAACACTTCTAATCTTCGGCACTTATATGACCTAATTGTGTTGCAAGTGCTGTAAAACATTTACAAGAAAAACAAAACAAATTGACCTGTTTATGTCAGGTTGTGTCTTGTACTCCGACAAAAAAACAACATCAATTGAACTGTTCCACTTCCTCAGGAGAGCCCAACCATGGTCAGGAATGCTCCCCCGGTGGCCGGCGCCATCTACTGGTCACGGCAACTCCTGAAACGTATCGAAGACCCCATGAAGGTCTTCCGAGACAACAAAGCAGTCACTTCTCTGTCAGACTTCAGCCGTCAGGTTCGCATCTACAACCGACTGGCTACAGCCCTCGTCACATTTGAGAGTCTGTGGTTCACCCAGTGGAAGAACAACATCGAGCAGGCCCGCAGTGGGCTGAGAGCTACTCTGTTTATTCTGCACCCAGAAACAGGGGACATCATTGTCAACGCGGATGAAAGGTACAAAGAATTTTGTTATTTGTGTGGTTTTTATCTATCAGTAATTCTATAATATGACTATAATAAGAAAAAAAAATAAGAAAAAGGAGAAGAATGATGATGATAATAATAATAATAATAATAATAATAATAATAATAATAATAATAATAATAATAATAATTATAATAATAGAAGTAATAGTAATAAAAAAAATTATAATAATATAATAATAATAGTTAATCTGTCAATGTCTGAGGATGACCACAGAGGAGAATATTTCTCTAGTGAAATAGAAGAACTAAAGGTCAAGATGGCTTGTGGCTTTTGCAATGGTCAGTGAAACCAATTCTGACAGAGAAAAGATTGCCACATGACAGTAACACAGTCATAATAACAAGGCTGACCAGAAGGACTGTTAGTGGGAAGGAATGAAGCACAATGATCATCAGTGTCCGCTCCAGATCCGACATCTGAAGAAGAAAAATAAGAATATAATTACTTTACAGCAAAAATTGTAATCTGTGGTATATATTTCTTAGTCTGTAAAAAATGAGATTAAAAACCAAAAGGCCTATTTGACATGAGCAAGTTTTGCGAATGGATTCCTCATGTGTAGTTTATTTGTTTTGTTTTGTGGATTGGGAACTCCCGTGGCGAGGTTACTGGTTTTGGTTTTTTGATGTAAAGATCTGAGTTGACTAGTGCAGTCGGTTAAGTAGAATAGTGTTTGATACGTTTGCACGAGCATTCCAACAAGCTCTTTATAAATTATTGCATCTGCTCATTCATTACAAAGAATGCAACTGCATACTCAACAAACACGCTCATGCAGAGTCAGACATCTCTCACAAGTTGACATTCAAATATTCTGTATTCTTTGTTGAAGTTGCGCAGCTGCTGACAATAGAGAATTAGTGCTTGGTCTTTCATTCACTAATTTAATTGATGAAATTCTTTTTTTCATCTTGTTTTTGGACCCGTATCTATTCTTTTGGTGCCGTATTAGTGAACTGTGTTGTCAAGAAATGTATTTTTCATTGTATGACTAGTATTTACATATGTGAGGCATCTTGGTGAAATAAAACGCTCGTCAAAATAATGATATCAAAGAAACTGACTTTTTTTTGGCCATTGGGTAGTTTTTTAATTAATTTTTTTTGCTCAATTACTTTTATGTCCATCTAAAAACACATTGCTGTGTGGATTTATTGATACACATTGATTAAAGGCACAAAAATGTAAATTTTCAGTTTCAAAGCACTCTCAAGCCATGGAAGTCACCAGACTTTGGCAGCCATTTTCTTGCTAATTTTACCTCTGAAACCAGGCAACCCCCATCTCCTACAATCACAAATGATGGGATTTCTATTCAAGATTTCTGGGTATTTTTTCATCAACGTCATAGCAAATAAGCAAGTTTTAAGATTGTAGATATAACTCCATATTCCCCCTAGAATCGATAAGCGCCTGATTCCAGCATGTCGTGCCACATACGTATAGTTGTCAAGTGTTGTCACAGGACTGGGGTAGACATACCATGGCTCTCCAAACAAATCTACCCTGACCATTTTGTGCGCTGTGCCAACTTTCTGCATCCTGTCTGATCTGTTCTGTCACCGATCGATCTGCGTCTTGGTTACACTCTGCCTCTCGGTCCTTCCCTTCAATCCCTTATACTCGTACCGTTAACATAATCTCTTATCTAGCTTAACATTATTATTGTTTATATTGCTGTTCATTTGTCTAATGCATGTGACTATGAGCCTGTTTGTGAATGTAAGCATACTGTTATATTATTATAGTTATGTGCACAGATGTGTGTGGAAGAGAGGATGTGTGAGGGAAGAGTGTGGGTGTATATGGGTGTGCACATGTGCATGCGTATACATGTGTGTGCATGTGTGTGTGTGTGTGTGTGTGTGTGTGTGTGTGTGTGTGTGGATGTGTGTGGATGTGTGTGTGTGCATGTGTGCCTCTGTGTGTATGTGTGTACGTGGTGAAGCTCTGAACCAATGCGCCAAGATCTGGACAATAAAGATGTATCTTATCTTATCCTATCTTATCTTAGTTTAGCTTATGTTATCTTATCCTATCTTACCTTATCCTCTCCCGCAGAGTTCTGGAGCTGATCCATGAGGCCAAGTGGATGACCCGCCTGGGCATCCAGATCCCAGAGTCGGCCATGTCGGTCATGGAGCAGGAGGGACGCTTCAAGAACTACAAGGGGCACCTGGAGCTGGTGCTCAGTGACTTCAAGTCAGTTGTTATGAAGAATTCCCTTGTTAATTGCTTTTTCATTTTGAATTTCCTTTAAGAGTTAGAGAGGTGGCGACCCATTTGTTTGTTTTACCATGGTACTTAGTCTTCCTCATCTGACACATTTCATTTTCTTTTACCCTTGCACAGAACCAACAAACTAACAACAACAACCCCCCCTCCCCCCCAAAAAAATGCCAACAAACAACTCTTTATTTCTAATCAATGATATACTTTGTTTTCTTTAAGAACAATGCTGATTTGTTGCTTTGCAGGGAGGTGTGCCAGTCTATCCCAGGGCCTCTGCTGAAGCTGTTCAAACCTCATATTGAGTACGTCCACCAGCAGCTCCAGCCTGGACTCAGCACCCTGGCCTGGAACAGCATGAACATCGGTCAGTTAGCTCTCCAGTCTACTTTTTAAAGGGTGCTTTCTCTCCCTCTTTGAGTAACTTTACCTGTGCAGACTGTTGATGTAGTGGAAGGAACATTGAACTTAACCTTCATTAAAATTTGTAGTTGCAGCCATTTTGAAGTACAATCAAAACTGTCTAAGACAGCCACCTTTTGTCAAGAAGAAAAGTGGCTGTCTTAGACATGTGGCCATCTTACTCAGTGTCATTATAATGTAAAAAAAATTGCAAAAGAGGAAATGGGAAGTGGTCATTTGTACAGGCAATTGTACTATAACCAATGGCTGATTTCACCAAGATGCCTCACATATGCAAATGAATGTTGGCGGTTGTTCTGGTGGCGTTTACTACTTTTTTTGTATCAAACGTCTATCGTCCTTATCTCTACTCCTTCTTTTTTTTGTATCTTTCTCTTCAGAGACACCTCCAATCTTCGGTACTTATATGACCTAGTTGTGTTGCAAGTGCCTTAAAACTTTTACCAAAACTAAAAATAAACTCAAATAAATAAATAACTTTCTTCCACAGATGCGTTCTTGCACCAGATCCACTCGGCGACTGAGCGTCTCAAGAACATGAGCACCAAGGTCAATCAGCTGATGGAGACCAAGGTCTGTGGAATGATTGTCACCATTGAGGATTTCTGCCTCTATGACATGGACATGGCATTTTCACGCACCTGGGTAAGATTCTACAGCTAAAAGGTTTTGGAAATGAGAGAAATACTTTGTCAAGATTTCTATACATTGTCACACAACGAGCATAACACCAGTGATCAAAGGTCAATTTTAGTTCTTTTTTTTCTGTGAGTTTTTTTTATAAGATGTTTATGCATTAAATTTTTCATCTGCTGATCATTAGTAGAAGTCACTAAAATGTAGACCTGTCTCTCTACGTATCTTTTTTACCCTCAGACAGGTTCAGTTATTGCTCTTTTTAAAGACTCAATAGACTACTTTTCTGATCCAGCGGCCATTTGGGTTCTAGCCCTTCGGCCTGAGACTCAATAGACAAGTCATTCATGTTACACAAGTCCTCATGATAAATAATCTACACCTTGGCAAAATGGAGACTAACACAAAAATGCACTACGTGTGATGGGGTCCTTGTGAAGCATCTTTTGTAAAGCTGGCAGTTCTAGTGCGGATTACTTTTTCACGTCTGGGTGGTTCCTTCATGTCGTATTTGAGCTCAAATAGGTTTGTGCATGATGTTATTACTGGGTTTCATTGCACCTTTGTAACAGCCTGTGGAGAACTTCAACAAGGAAATGATGGAGAGCATTGATGAGCGATCAGTGACCCTACAGAACTATGTGGAAACTGTGCTGGAAGGACTGCAGGGAGTGGCCAATATGCTCACCACCAAAAAGGTAGGTTTTCTTCTTCTGTAGGTCAAAAACCCATGTCTCTTGGCATTTCCTTCGTGTATTTTGATTTGTGTCTTGTAATATTTCCTAGTTAAAAAAAGAAAATTGGGGTTTTGTTTTTGAGACTTGGTCGTCATCCTCAAATTAATCAATTTACATCACATTTCCTTATAAATGAAAGGAATGAAAAATAATTCGTTCCTGTGCTAAGTGGTAGGCGTTGTGTTTTGGTTAGAACACTTGCCTGAGCATTTCTCTAGTTTTGCCTTTCTTCATGTCAACTGATCCTTCAGCGTGCAGTGATGCAAATCTAGTAGTCAACTCTAAGGAGCTTAGATGCACAGGTTTCTCTAACTTGTCAGTCATGGAGGGGGAAGGGGTTGGGGGGCATGGCTCAAAGACTAATTTTCAAAAACTAATAGATGTTCTCCCCTTATAACTTTGTTCATTATAATTTAGTCTCTTTCTCTGTCCAATTTTTTAGTTGTGTTCTGCTTGTTATCAAAATATTTCTTTTGTACATGTCTTTTATATTTTTGTAAGATCATTTCATTTTTCTTCTCTTTGACCACACATTGATGATACTAACATTGCAGGCCTGTACTGTTGTAAATAGGATATAACAACACGCTTTGCAAGAACTTTTAATTTTTATTATAATCAGTGAAAGGATGGAAAAACTACTAGAGTCTGGAAGATTGAACCAAAATTTTTCAAGCCAGCTTTTTGGGGTGGAAAACTATAGATAGCAAATTCTATAGAACAGGGGCACCGTTTTTTTAATTTCTAAAAACAATTCACATATATGTAGAATGTGCTCAACATTTTTCCCCATTGCTTCTTTATATAGAGCAATTTTCCCTGTATATTCTATAATATTGATATTGTGTGCAAAATCTTTTCCCTTGTATTCCTTTATTCCCATTTTCTATGTTATATTTTTTTCCTTCTTAATTTTCAAGCAGAAAAGGAAGGTAAATAGACTTCGTGCATGCATGTATCCGTATGAATTGTTACTTGACCTGCTATGAGCTTTAGTATATTCTGCAATATTTTACAGTTCTGCCACAGCAGTACCATGAAATTGCTTTTTCACCATATGAAATATTCAGCTTTGCATCCATATTATATATATATGTAATTCCTGCTTGACTTTTGAATATTTACTCTTAAAGCCGTACTTTCACGTTACTGCAATCTTGGTTTAAGGGGGTAAGAAGAAACTTGAAAATTAGTACATATAAAATGTGTCATGACATGGTGGAATCAGGCGCTTATCAATTTTTGGGCCTGTAAAGTTATTGGTATCATTTTAAACCTTTTTTATTTCTCTATGTTTTGATGAAAAAAATACACATTAATCTCGAGTAGAAGTTTAGATATTTGCAATTGAAAGAGGTGGGAGTTGCCTGGTTTCAGAGGTAAAATTAGGGAGAAATGGCAGACAAAGTTTGGTGACTTCCACAGCTTTAGCGTCCTTGGAAACTGAAAATTTACATTTTTTAGTTCCTTTTATCAATATTATATCCACACATAGGTATGTTTTTAAATGGACATGAAAGGTTTTCACCCCCCCAAAAAAAAATTAGATTAAAAAATGCCAAACCTCAGAAAAATGCCGGTATCTTCGATTTTTGTTATTTTAACGAGCGCCTGATTTCAGCACAATGCCTCACAAATAAAGGTTGTGGATTTCCTTTCTATCTCTGTCCCTATTACTCATCTACCTCCTACCACTTTCCCCTTTCTCCCTCTGTCTGTCTGTTTGTTTATCTGTTTGTTTATCTGTTTGTTTGTCTGTCTGTCTCTGTGTTTGTCTCTCTCTTTCTCTCTCTTTGTCTCTCTCTCTCTTCTTCTCTTTCCCTCTCTCTCTCTCTCTCTCTCTCTCTCTCTCTCTCTCTCTCTCTCCAGGGGAAGTTTGAAGGTTAAGAAGCTGGGGAAACAAGTCTCATAATGGCTGGGCCAGCATGTATTTACTTTATTTCATGAATTCAGCGTACGGAATGTTTTAATCTCTGACATTGTAGTTTTGTTCTTACTTTGTTTAGACTATAGCTTGGATTAAGTTCCCTGAAAATTAATTTCTACAATATCTTTCTTTTCACACTTACTATGCTCTTTAACAAAGGAATTTCTGAACATTGTCATGTTAACAGAAGGGAAATGTAATGATCAGCATAGCCTCTGAAATGAATAGAGTAATGTTTAATAGGAAGTAAAACTTACATTCTAGTTTTCTGTACACCAAAGGGTCACAGTGAAAACTCATACTTATCAGCCCTTTAAGATTTTACTCCAACTGATTTGTCTTTATACCTGTCATCTCTGTATAATTCATTACTAATGCCTAACTGTGGTTGTGAAATGCTTGTGAACCTTTACTTTGTTTACAGGAGTACACAATCACCCTCAAAAGTGTTGCTCTTGCGCGCTCCACTATCATGTCTAAGCTGAGAAACATTCGACAGAAAGCTACGGACAGAACTCACACATCTAAATCAGTATGCTGTCTACCATTTTGAATATACATGCACCTTTCGTGAAGTGAATGAAGCAATATTGTGCCACTGATTTGAGTTGCTACTTGTTTTTTTGAGCTCATCACTTTTCCTTCATAAATGGTATCGTCCTGTCAGCATTGTTATAGCTTCTGTTTTAGCTGGTGAATATCTGATCTTCCTGCCTCAGTGTGAAACCTTTTCTTCAATGTTACAGATGTTCCAGTGAAATCCAAAATCTGTCAGTGACCAACTATGTCTTAGAGTGTAGCCATTTTCTTTGTTCCAATTACTGGACCGTAGATGGCACCAATATCTAAAGAGGTGTTAATGATTCAATGTGCTGTCGTGTTGTGTGGAGATAGATGCTATTATGGTGTTTATTGACTAATTTCTTATAGAGAATAGTCATGGTAAAATGTTTCTGACTTAAATATTTGTTTTCCAGATGTGAATATAGTAGAATGACAGGAATGTTAAGCTTTGCATAAATGGGACTCTTTCATGTGTCCAATGATCATTATTTCTTTTAGTGTCTGATCTTTTAAACAATGAGAGTATGCTACAAATAGCAAGATTTTAAATTTCTGTTTTACTTTTTTTTAAAGTGTCTTGATGAGTGAATGTCAGTCTTGAGATTCTTAAGGTCATTTATTGTTCTCCTACTTACAAAGCTGGGCAGACCTAGGAAGTATATAGTATTATTTAACTGTGGTTCATCCAGTAATCATTTTGTGGGCAGAGAAGGTATATTTCATTCGACATTTTGCACAGTTATTGTTTCAGCTGGTTGCCATTTTGTTGTGCGGTGGATTAATTGTGTTTGACTTCATTTGTATGATTGTGTTATACCTGCACTTTTTTTTACGTTTGGTGAAACAGACTCTACACTTCATCAGGTGCTCATGAACGTGCCTATTCTTATTCTTCCCATTCTCTATAAGAATGTTATGTAAGGACTGACTGTGGTACAGAATTCTTTACTTTAAAAGGTCTGCTGCACTGACAAGTAATACTGATAATTGCTTTATATAGGACATATCTAAGCTCAGCAGAATGCTCTATGCACTTTACTATTATTATGTTGAAATGAGCGTTTAACTCATACAATTACCAGTTTTACTCCCACCCTTAAAAAATAGTGGATAGATTGTCTGTCAGATTTTTCAGTGTTAAGTAAAGGTATCATTTTGGGCAGAATATAAATGCTTTTGAAACTGTTGGTGTTAGAGGTGAGAAAGTGAAATTGTGCTAATTTATAAATCAAATCAAAATGAAAAGACATCTTTTTAGCCAGGTAAGGAGATGTATTATAGGTAGCCTTTATGCACTTCTTTAAAAAAAGTCTGTCATTGGTTTTGAATCTCTCCTTTCTTACTCGTAAATTGCATTTACAATCGTAAGCATTTCTGCTGAGGCACAATGTCGTGCACACTCACACACACATGCTCTCTCTCTCTCTCTCACACACACACACACACACACACACACACACACACACACACACACACACACACACATACACACACACAAACACACTCACACACGCACCCACAAACACACACACACATGATCTCACACATACCCACACACTTACACACACAGAGACACACACATTTGCACACATACACACACAAAAACACACTCACACACGCACCCACAAACACACACACACATGATCTCGCACATACCCACACACTTACACACACAGAGACACACACATTTGCACACACACAAGCTCATTCACTCACACGCATACACACACATACACACGCACACACACACGCACACTCTCGCACATACACGCTAACACATGTAAGTACACGCTAGCCCACATGTGTGTTCTCACTTGTACATACACGAGTGCATGCTCTCAGAAAAAATCTCTCTTGAATGTTGTTAAAGTCTCCGGGCGGCTCCCTTTTTTTAAGGTATACGTTCACAATAATATCAGAATGATAGTTCTTTGTTCTTTAAATGAAAGGTTGAAATTTGATAATAAGAGAAACTTACATTTTTCTATGATTGCTTTACACTTATCTGATCTTTTTTCTAGAACAAAGGAAATAATAAATTCCATTGAAAAAAAAATTTAATTAAAACATCTTTGATAATGAGGCTGTGTTTTAGTTGTTGTTTTGCCTTAGATTTTTAAAAATTTTTTACATGAAATTGTGAGAAAAAAAACCAAACAAGCAAATGACTACTCTTGACTACTCTGTTTCTCACTCTGAAAAATGTTCTAGTTCTTCATTAAAGTGAAACCTACGACTACGTGCTTAAGAGAAAATGACTAAATTTAGCACTTTCAGTGTGTAATTTTTTAACGTTTTCTTTTCTTTTGTAGTTTTGTTTAGCTCTAGAATATATCTGGTATGCTTTATATTTTCTTAATGTGTTTTAATCTTATATGTATGACCTTCTGTGGAAATGAGTGTTAAACTTTGCAAAATGTTACTCTTGGTAATATCCTCCTTTTTCCCCTCAAGAAAAAATTCACTAAGTGAAGATGTGTTAGAAATATTTGTCCCATAGCTACATCAATATTATTATAATCATTTCCACTCTTTTGAACATATTATGTAGGCCTATTTGTCCAACAGCACTTAAAATATATTGTTTTTTTAGATTTTACCTGACAGTGAACTAAAAATACCCCCAAATATTCAATCTGAAGAAAAAAGTGCAGTGACTTTGATATGAAGGATAGCTCTATCTTAAAATATCGGTGTGGACGTAGTTTTTCTCAAAAAAGATAAATACTCCTATGTCATGTCAAATTTTTGTGAAATTGATTTTGGTGCATGGGCCCCAAATGAATTGTCTAAATTATCAATTGTGAGATAGTGCAGTCCGCAATGTCAGGGTGGATCGGAAGGAACAATTTTATGATAAGGAAATCTTACTGCAGCACTTTGAATGCAAGTTTTATTTTGTGCAGCTAGAAACTTTATTTCATCCTGTAATACCAGCTAAGGCAAGCATTCAAAAGTTTCAGACTACGAGTAACAATTAAGTCAAGCTTGGGTTATTTATCGGTGGGTGCATTTCTCACTCAAATTGTTACAGTTTTGTCAAATATGCTTAACGGTAGTATGTGAGTGTTTAAAATGAGAGATTTGTTGTAATTTTAAATAAAGGTAATAATACACAACCTAATGAGGCTGTTTTTACAAAAGAAAAAGATGCTCTGTTTCATGAACTTGGAAAGTAGTGTCAATGTATCTGAATGTTGGAAAAGGCAATATTTTGAGAAGAATATTGTTGAAGGGGGAAGTATTTTCAACATTAGCCTGAATTGCTTTACTCTCTGCCCAAATAATTGCTGTTTATTTATAAGAAACATTCTATCATCTTGCCTGAATGAGCTTTACTGTTGTCCTCACCAGACTGCTCAAGTGATGTTTTTCATATTGAATGAGTGATTCTTTGGTGCTCATAGATTATTAAATACGCAAGATGGATCCATTTTCTATTCATGATTCCAAAGAATCATTCTTAATGTAGTGCCACAGTCGACATCTGTAGTAATTGCATGTAGATTGCTCTTCTTAGGAAGGCATGTGCATGCATTTTGTGTACAAAGAGTAGTTGTGGGAGTAAATGTATTGCGAAAAAATTATGTTTGGGAATTAATAATCAATTAAAATGAATTCTTCATCACAACTGTTGGCAATATCTATTTACTTCCATTAGTTTATTTTCAAAGGTGCTTTTTTTTCAGGGAGTGAACCATCTTGTAGCGTGCAGTCTTTGGGGTGTTCTGTTTCTCCTACTCTTTTTTGCTCTTACTGCTACTCTTATCTGTTCCTTTTTACTGCCTCGTGGTGAACTAATACTTGGAACTCAATGTAAAGACCTAGCAAAAAGGAGTATTTTGTTTGTTGTCTTTGCTCCTGAAAATATGGAAGAGAAACTAATAATTTCCCCCTATACCTCAACAAAAATGAGACATGTCTTTTGGATTAATTAGAGGCTGTTTTCAGATAAAGTCGTATGAATATAAGCTGCAGAGGTATTCTGGAATGGTTGGAGTGGGTCACTTTCCGTCTTTTATTTCTGTCTGTCTTGTTTTTATTCTCAGTACTAAACTAAATGACTGTTGTTGCGTGGGTGTGCTTTTCTTTACTCACACTCAGACCCTCAGAGGTGCTGTATGATGTACGTAAATATGACTTTTGAGGAGTACACTTTTTGATTTTGAAAACCATTTGTTTGCTCAGCCTGACAGCAAGCAGGCCTTGAAGGAGAAGAAGCTGCAGCTGATGCTGGATGATGATGAGCATGAGAAGGAGAAGCAACTGGCCGCCATGGAGGAAGCTTATGTTGTTGAGTTGATCGGTCAGTTTGTGTGTTTATGTGTGTGTGTATGTGTGTGTGTGTGTGTGTGTGTGTGTTTGTGTGTGTGTGTGTGAGAGAGAGAGAGCGAGATAGAGGGAGTGTGTGTGTTTGTATGAGTGTGTGTGTATGTGTGTGTGTGTGTGTGGGTGTGTGTGTGGGTGTGTGTGTGTGGACGTGAGTATGTGTGTATTTGATTAAATGCTGGTAGAATGGAAAGGGGAGAGAGTGTTTGAGAGAGGAGAAAGAGAGAGAGAGATAGATAGATAGATAGAGAGAGAGAGAGAGAGAGAGAGAGAGAGAGAGAGAGAGAGAGAGAGAGAGGGAGAAATGAAAGAGTGAGAAAGAAAAAAAAAGTGAAAGGAAGAAACAAAGACACAGAGAGAGGAGGGGAGGTGGAGGTGGGGGTGAAAAGAAAAAGAAAGAGCGAGCTAAGGGTTAGCAGTACAGAAAACCTGTATTACCTGTCATGGGCAACAACGTCATTGCACATGGGACAGGTCCATAAGTGCTCTGTTCCCCCCAGCACCAAAGCCCGCAAGGTATCCATACTGATTGTTCCGGTGGCTGTCTGATTATGGCGATGTCTTTCCCTTCCAAATAATCATTCCTTTCTTCCTTTTTCCTTCTCTATCCCCTTTTCCCGCAACCTAATCATTGCGGTTGCGGAGTACAGAAAACATGGTCAGTGAGCTTATAGTAAACTGCCTTAACACTCACTTTAATCAGAGCTCTGCCCTTTACCCTCTGCCCTCAGCTCACTTCAAAGACCAGGTGTTCCAAGCTGTGCTGGGGGCCACCACCAAGTCCCTAGCCTGTCTGGCAGAGGCGGCCGGCTGTACGGGTGAGGTTGTCCGTGCCTTCACCCCTGTGTCCAACCACGAGTCCCACAGTGAGTGCAGCTCCCCGTCGCCGCGGGCTGCCTATGGCAACTATTTCAGGTGGGTCTATTTCCCGAGTTAAGGATGATGAGGATGATAATGATAATAACGATAATAATAATAATAATAGTAATAATAATAATAATAGTATTAGCGATAATAATTGCAATAACAATAGTAATAATTGCAGTAATAATAATAGTAATTGCAATAATAATTCTGCTTGTAATAATACAATAATAATACAATAACGATAACATAAATATAATAATAATAATAGTGATAACAATAAAATAATAATCATAATCATAATCAAAATAATAATGATAATAATTTTATAATTATGATAATGATGATGATAATAATAATGATGATAATAATAATAATAACAATAAATTGTGTGACAATAATAGTAATAATAATAAGAATAGACTGCATTTTGATAGTGCATATTTCTACTTAAAGAAGGTTGTTTATTTATGCTTTATAAAAATTTGATGTTGTTTGTGGCTGATCCTGTAATATTTGGAAATATTCTCAGCATTTTGGAACAGTTCTCTTGTATGATGAGTTTAAGCTTGCACATGATAATATGTAATGACTGTCATCTTTCTTCTCTGTTCTTAAGAGTGCACAGTGTTCCAAACATAACTGACTAATTATGTTTACAATTTTTGTCATCAAAGCTGTAGAGAAATGAAATAAAGCAAGCTTTTTGCATATCAAATTTAGCTGTTATCTGCTTCAATTTTCTTTTTCGGATAGTGCTGAATTTGAATGAACTATTCGTTTTCAACTATTTTGACCATATGTATGTATCAGAAGTAATTTCAGTGGTTGTGTTCTGGTTCTCCCAGACAAAAAAAAAAAGGATTATTTCAGGTTATACCTGCATTTTCATATCTAGCATAAATGTAGTTCTTGAGGTTGGAAGGTTAATTTTTTATTCATGTGTATTCAAATGATAAGTACATTATTAATTAGTTCTTTTACCTAGGGGCTTCTAAAGATTCTTTTAAAGAACACCTTCAGGTCCTGTATCCTGAGGTACAAATTTCTAATTTGAGCTCATGGTCTCAGTGATTTGTTGTGTTTGATTCCTTTGGTTTCATTGATGATTTGTTCCCACTCTTTTGTTTGTCTGTTGGTACCTTTGATATTATCGTTTTATTGATCAGCTCCTGGAAAAATAAAGCTGTTATGCTGATTTGTAATGAACTACCACTCAACTTCCTTTCTCTTTTTGTGGTCTAAACTTTTCTGGGTGGTTCTTTGTATTTTACAGTGGCAGTGCCGGCAACAGTCGTGTCAACTCGGCTCAGAGTGGCGGCAGACAGTCTCAGACATCGGACCGACCTGCCAGCAACATGACCAACTTGTCTGAAATGACCTGGTCACCTGGGGAGAATGCAGTGCTCAGCACGCCTTTGCAGTGAGTTTTTTTTATACAGTTGAACTTGCTCTAATGGCCACATGTGTAAGACAGTTACCTGTACAAATGGCCACTTTCCATTAATAGAAGCAAAAGTCATCTCCCCTGGACTCTTTACGCTACCACAGAAAATGAAAACTGAAGAGCCCAGCTGGCATGATTCATAAAGCAACAGCTAAACGAAGGAAATACCCATGACTCTGTCAAATTAAAATCAGAAAAAGGACAGCGCCTGCCACCATAATAATGATGGTAACAATATTTTTTTAAATGTTGATAATAAGAAAAATGACAACAACCACAATAATAATGACATTGATAATGATAATGATAATAATAATAATAATAATAATAAGTATAATTAAAATTACCACAACTTTCGTTCATCTTATGTGCAGGTTTGAAGTGAATGTGAAATTCTCCATTCCCAACATCATTGTTGAGCCAACACTGGATGTTGTGCAGAAGTCAATCTCTGACGTCACCAACGCCATCCTGGAAGCTAACAGTGGCAAGTTTCTTATTACAATAATTGTATTACATCTTTATGTTTAGCCATTGTGAATGTATTGGTCGATGAAAAGTTCTCTTGCTTCCATTTGCTGCAAAGAATCTAGATATTGGTGTCTCTGGTGTCGATCTTTTTTTTTTTTTTTTGTAAATGTTTTACAGTGCATACAACTGCATAAGGTCATATGAGTGTGCGGGACACATTTAGCATTATCAGTTTGGTGGAAATTAATTTTTAATTTTGCCTGGGAGGTGGCTGAAGCCTAATGGTTTTGCTTTTGCCATTGCATGCAGAAGGAGTGAGTTCAATTCTCATGTAGGGATGTTATTTTGCTGATTATCTCTGTCTGTCTGCTGAGATGTTGAGTCATTCATAGTGTGGGGTTACCCTGACGGGCAGAGTCCCAACAAGCCTTATCATAAATTATGTAAATTGTATTGAGTGCAGCATAACATGTTTGTAATTTTTCATTAAAAGAATGTATGCCTGTTGTTTCAAAGTTCGAAAACACAAAATTGAACAAAAGCAAATATATTTCCCAGTTCCATTAATTTTTTTAATGTGTGAATGGAAGGGAGGGGTGGGGAGGGTAGTGTGTACACTTATAGATGTACCGGTAAACTTCCTTTTCAAGTTTGATCCTGCTGATTGGAGTGCACTACCAATAGGTTATATATTTCTTTTCTTTCCTTTTCTTGTTCCTGACAGTTTTTTTCTTCTTTTCCACTGCACCTTAAAGGAGCCTTATTATTTCGCTGTGCCTCTCCCCCTTGGGCAACCTTAAATTTTATTTGTATTGTTTTGTTCTCACTTCAGAGATCTCCTGGATGAGTGAGTCTGGGGATGAGTCGTTCTATGGGATGATCAGCAGCGACTGCAATGTTCAAGAGCTCTGCTCACAGCTAACCAGTGTCATTGATGGTGAGGAGATCTGTGATACCTATTGTTCTGAATGAACATTTTAACCTTTTGAGCCCTGAACCCTCAGAGCCTAAAGGATCCATGCACCCTAACTTTCATTTGTCAATTGCTATAATACTATGGTCGTGCACTATTGTGTGTAGAAGGGAACAGGGTAAAATCAGTGAATAAAGTTGGAAATACACCATAAAGTCAAATTTTTTTTTGCGCGTGAAACATAAACAAGTTTAAGGTTTGTGAGGCATAAAAGTGCAAAATCCTGTTATTTGATATTTCTGGCGGTCCTTTTAACATTAGTAAACGAGAGACGTTATGAATGCATGTGTTTATTGTATATATTTATTCATGAATGGATGTGCTTATATGTCTGTGTGCATACATATGAGTGTGTGTGTGTGTGTGCATGTGTGTGTGTCTATGTGTGTGCATGTGTGTGCATGTGTATGTGTGTGTCTGCGTGTGTGTTTGTGTGTGTCTGTGTGTGTCTGTATGTGTCTGTGTGTGTTTGAGAGAGAGAGAGAGAGAGAGAGAGAGAGAGAGAGAGAGAGAGAGAGAGAGGAAAGAGAGAGAGAGAGAGAGAGAGAGAAAGAAAGAGAGAGAGAAAGAGAGAGAGAGAGAGAGAGAGAGAAAGAGTGAGTGCATGTTCATGTGTGATGTGTTCATAGCTATGGGAAACAATTATTACCTTTTCCATTGTTTTCTCAGACCTTGGAGGCTTGGTCCATCGTCATCTGTTCCACTTCAGCTATTACAACTTCTTGTGGAGGGATGACATGCACGGCAACTTCAGTGAATTCATCGATGCTGATCCGGGTGTTGTGGCAATCAAAAGAGAAGTAATGGTCCTTTAGTCTCTGAGTTTTATGTTTAAAATATTTTCTAAAAGTCGAAAACTATACAAAGCTTTCACTTATTTGAGAGTTGAAAAAAAAAGTACGTTGTGAGAAAAATTGTATTTCAGTGTTAAAAGTAGGTAGAAATGAGAACCCATCTCTTCATAATTTGGCCAGGTTGTGTAATGTACATACTTTGTTTTGTGAAGAATTACTTTTAAATCTGCTTGATTCTTCTATGTCTTACTCTCACGCAGTTCAAATCCTAACTCGCACCCACTTCAAATCTTTACTTTCATTCACTTTGGAAAGTGCAGATATCCAATCTTTGCTTGTGCTTTACGTCAAGCTAGCTACAAACTTCAAGAAAAGTTAAGGACCACTTGCAAACACTCTGAGTGGTCTTCTTGGGTCGACCAGCACATGGGCATTCTTGGACTGATTCAGTGGCTCGATGGCGCTGTCTCAGGCAGACAATAACAGTGTGTGACACTGCAAGCCTTCTGGCAACTTCTCGGGCTCCAACTCCATCCTGCAGCCATGCCATAGCTCTGGCACGATCAAAGTCTCTCAGCTTTCGTCTTGGTGGCATGTTGATGCAATACAGGATTTTCCACAAGCGGCGGCTTATATTGCCACCAAAGTGAGCACTGTTTGAGACCGTACGTCCGTTTATGACGTGCACCAGAAATTTTAACTGAGGAATGTCCCGGGTGTCACACACTAGTAAAAAAAACCCTGCAAATTTGGCTAAAATTCCTTGAGGATTTCCGTGCTGCACGTGGTAGTTTTGCCCGTTTAGGGAGCTTTGCAGTACGCTTTGGCAACCAATTCTGAGCAAAAAATGTTGAATCATTCCTTGCTGTCTTTTTTTCGGTTTTTTTAAAGTCAGGGCTGTCTGTCAAGGTGGTCCATAACTTATGTTGAAGTCTGTATTTGCCGAAATGAAAAATGTGTTTTTGTCATCTTACTCACACCTAATGAGACTCCCCCTATAATTCTGTATGCTCAAAAACCTTGTTATTTATGCACACATCTGTCATTGTTATTGTTTTGAGTTCAGTTTGCAAACCGGTAAATTTAATAATAACAATAATAAATAGCATTTATATAGTGCAAATTCCCGCTCAACAGCAACCTCTATGTGCTTGGCAATCTATTCAATTACCCCAGCAGACCTGATAGCGTTCTGAAACAATCTCAACTTCCAGGGAAGCATACAGTGCAATGATTTTGTGCTCATTATCAGGTGGAGCGTTACCTATACCTTGAGAAGAAGGTTCTGGGTATTCCAGCCCAGCTGCCAGTCGGTCCAGTCAACCTGTTCTCAGACCCAATCAAGGACAGCCTACATGGGTTCTCCATGGCTTGGAAGACAAAGTTTGCTTCTGTTCTGCATGAAGAAGCAAAGGTTAGTTTCTTTAAAGTTTGCGGTTTAGAAGCAGAACCTTAGATTCAAATTATAAAGATTTGTTTGTTCATGGTGATCTGTTTTATTCTGTTCCTAATGCATGGAACTGTAAAGACTTAAATGTATGAACAGCTTCACTGCAGTCATAAAAAGTACAATGTTTTTTACAATTATACAGGAAAGCCAAAGAATCTGAATGTGGTTACCAATAAAACAATAGTTGCCTTAAAGATAATAAGGAAGTTATTATCAAAATAGATTAATTTGGGATGTTTGCAAAGAGTTTGTTTTCTTGGTAACAATATTCAGTTTTTGGCTCTCCGACTCTCCTGTGAAATTGTAAAAACTGCATTACTATATTTTTTTAAAAGATGACAACGCAGATGGATGAATGAAACTGTATGCAAACTAAAGCAAGAATGTTAAGTGAATGAGTAAAGAAAGGAATTGATGAAAGAATAAGTGACAGAAAAAATGAATACATTCATGAATAAAGACACTACTGAATGAATACCCCCCAAAAAATAGGTTAACAATACACGTATTGCTTCATTTGTTATTCTTTCGTGTGTAAATGCGATCAAGTCACAATTTGTATTTTTCACTCTTGGTAAAAAGAAAAGACATTGATGAACATTTTTTCTTTGGTGCCCATCAGAAAAAACTGGACAGTGTGGTGTCATACCGAGGTAATGTCAAGTCTCGCCTGGAGCAGCATGTGCAGACGCTTGACCAGCTCAACTCGGCGCTCCATCTTCTGGAGGAGCTGCGTGACATGGAGAACAAGATTGATGGCATTTACCTGCCCATAGAGACCATGTACTCCAAACTCAGGTGTGTAGAACAGGATTGATGGAATTTTCCTACTTATAGAGACCATATACCACCAAACTTAGGTATGTAGAACAAGATTGATGGCATTTACCTGCCCATAGAGACCATGTACTCCAAACTCAGGTGTGTAGAACAGGATTGATGGAATTTTCCTACTTATAGAGACCATATACCACCAAACTTAGGTATGTAGAACAAGATTGATGGCATTTACCTGCCTATAGAGAAAATGTACCATATACACTGACCTATAATGTGAGTGGTTTTCTCCCAAAGTGTGGTTCAAAATGCAATGTTTTTATTATTATTATTATTATTATTATTATTATTATTATTATTATTATTATTATTATTATTCTTGTTGTTGTTGTTGTTCTTCTTCTTCTTATTTTATTATTATTATTGTTCCCCTTAACAGAGAATTTGAGCTGCGTTTGCCTCGGAAGGAAGTGGAAGAAGTGGACAGTCTGAGAGAAAAGTGGACAGAGCTGTTGGAGCTGGCTGAGCAGGTCAGAGACGTCCTGCTGAAGGAGAGAAGAGGGGCATTTGAACAAGAGCTGGATAAGCAAGTCAAGGTATGTTGAGATGCTCTTTGAAATGGCTTTATTTTTCTTGCAGTCGGTGCTTGGTGGGTGCTCTGATGTAGTTTGCTCTTTTTTCTCTATCTATCATCTTTTGCCCTTATCATTCCTCCTTTTCTGAGCTTCTTACTCTCTTGTAATACCTGTAATCTAAGGCACTTATATGACTTAATTGTGTTGCAAGTGCTCTAAAACGCTTACTGATACACATTTTCTGACTAGCAAGTTGTTTTAGTAAGAGTTTTACTGCACTTGCAACTCAATCAGGCCATATTATTGCTGAAGATTAGCGGTGTTACTAGAGCGTAACATACAAACAAAAGAAGGAGGAGAAATAAGGGTTATAGATGTCTGATAGGAAAGAAGGAGCAGACCACACCTGAGCACCTGCTAACCAGCCACAAAACAAGTTGCTAACAGGACACACCACATGATAAAGCATAAGTTTATGCTTTACTTGTTTCTTTAAAATGCATATGCAACGACCTAGAATAACTGTGTATGGCATGTGCACATAAACTTATACTTCATTGTGCATTCAAGCACACAAACACAAACATACTAAGGCATACACACTTCGGCTGCAGTAACACAGGTCCCGGTAATGCTTGGTGCTTTTAAGCTTAGCAGGGCTGTGCTGATTCGGGGACCCACTGGAAAGTGAGGGTGCCTAAATATATAATATGTTAATCAGTGTGCATAAAATTTGCACCAGCTGGGATAGGGGTTGATCTTGAATTGGAAACCTTTCTTGGGTTACATGATCTTTTTATCATCCATCCTTCTTGCCACCTGCTGACTCACTTTGCCTTTTCTGCTGTCTATCCTCTCTTCTTCCCATTTATTCCAGTATTAGGCATATTTGTCCTTGTGTGTTTTTGTGAAAAAGTGACTCTGAAATCGTTTCTCTTTGCCACCAGACTCATTGTTTTGCTTACATATAAAACACCTTGTTACTTTTGTTCAGAAAGAATAATTGGACATCTGTTTTATTCTTGTTGTTGTTATCGATCCAACAACAGAATCTATTTTCTTACGCTTTATGAAAATAAGCTATTCTGCTTTAAAAACTAAAGAATCCCAAAACTGATGCAAATAGACAGTGTGAACTTTTTTATCTTGGGGATTAAGGTAAGCAGCCTCCCCGTTGTTTTCATTTTGCCATACTTTTAAAATTTGGTTTTCTCTCCAGACATTTGTGGTTGAAGTGATCCAGTTCCGCAATGCTTTCGACGCCCAAGGCCCCGCTGTCCCGGGAATCCAGCCTGCGGAGGCAGTGTCACGTTTGCACGACTTCCAGCATCGCTACACCATCTACGACGCAAAACGCAAGACTTTGGACTCTGTATCCAAACTGTTTGGGATCGCGTGCAAGCCGTTCCCAGAGTTGGATAAGACTGGAGAGGTACTTTGCTCACATGTTTTACGGAATAATGTAGATGTGATTAGCATAGCGTTGTAATTACATTGTTGCATCTGCTTTTTCAGCCAAAATAAAAAAGTTTGACTATGTTCAAAGGGAAAATATTCTATCATGTACTGTCAAATTGAATGATTTTAATTTTATGAAAAATAATCAAGGTGAAGTCATTTGACGTTGCTTCAAAAATTTGGATGTGCTGTACACTCAGACGACTGTTTCCTGAAGCTGTTTATGACAAGATCAAATTTTAAAATGTGAAAAGTTTGTCTGGAAATGGTTTGTAGTGTATGGAAAAAACATTGAGAATGTTACTTGAAATATTTTTTAAAAAAGTCTTCAAAAACTCCCATAGGATATAAATTTAATATATTTTTATGATCTTGTTTTTTGGAACTATTCCCGAACCAAGTTGTTTAGTATTGACTAAGCCTTTGTTTCCGCTATTTAGAAGTCGGAGACAAGTTTTTGGCGTTATAATGAGACATATTTTTCCTTACACCCTCGCAGAAGCTATGGATTAGACCATCAGCTGCTTTAGTGAACGGAGTGATATTAGGTTGTATGAACTATCTCAGCATTTTCCTTCTAATTGTTTTTCGGAGAAGACTTGCAGTGGTTAAGTTGTTGCTCCTTTCCAAATGTCACTGGCTTGAATGTTAAGTCTTGATAAAGGTACTTGACATCGGTTCTCCCTGCTGTAAATGAGCTCTTTCGTCATGATCTCAACAGAGTTGGAAATTTATAAATGATAGTATTATTGTAATTTAATAGGCTACTATGCTTCTTGTCCTTCAGGAAACTAAGATGGTAAATTAGAGTACACATGCTGGCCATTGTGGTCGTAGTTAATCTTTGAAACCTGGCTCACTTACAGACCAATGGACCTGAGCTTTATTGGGTCAGTCATTAGATTTACCTTTAGGCTCTCAGGTAAGCTTTAGGGGGGCAGAAGGGTTGAGTTAGTGCATGCTTAGGAATGTGCTGGGATCCATGGAGTAAAGTTGTATGAAGCTGAGACTGGAAGGGATACAAGACTATATTATGTGTTCTCTTTTCTCTTTAAAAATTCTTTAATTACTTCAATTTTTGTATTACTTTTTCTTCAGGAACTGGACCTGCTGAGTCAGCTGTATGGATTGTTCCAGAAGTTTATTCGCTTTGACAACAAGTTCAGGGACACTCTTTGGGCTGAGGTGGATTTGGAAGGTTCTTCTGCAGAGGTAGCACTGAGCTTCTTCTGACATTTTTCTCTGGACACTTCTGGAAAACTGACATTTCTCTTTCCTTCTCTTTTTGCTGGTGTAGTTTTAGTGATTTGAGGGATAGATGTTAAGTCGTTTTTACTGTGTGGGGAATCTATGATGTTGTGTTCCTTATGCAAAGGAAAGTGTTCTGCTTTTTAGATCATATCAGCCTTTTTACGTAACTCTTTGAACCCCATCGGACGCTGGTAGTGTCCGGTGGTAATAACCCTGTTCCCCACCGGACACTGGGAGCGTCCAGTACTAGTGGCAACTGTTTCATTTTATTTAGATCTAGTTTTTGTTTGTTTTTTGGAACTATTCCCGAACCAAGTTGTTTAGTATTGACTAAGCCTTTGTTTCCGCTATTTAGAAGTTGGAGACAAGTTTTTGGCGTTATAATGAGACATAGTGCACTGGGTTTAGGTGACTGTAGAAAAAAACTCTGGGAAACGGTAAAAAATACTTGGGGCTTAAAGAGCTTTAAAGAAGTCCAGTGAGTTCCAGGATCTTGTTTTCCAGGCTCTTAATATCAGAGTGTTAAACTATGTGATGATACTTATGTCTAACATCTTTTTAATGAGTGACTTTGGAAAAGAATGGAGTTAGATACATTTTTTTTTCATCTCTAAACTGAACTTATGTGAACTTACAACAATATCAGGGTGTTAAACAAGTAATACAATACTTATGTCTAAGTATTTCTTTGTGAGTGACTTTGACATTTGTGTACCTGTAAACTGACTTTATAACTTGGCAAAGATTACTAGGCCTATAGGGTTCTATCATTTATTCTGTAATGTTTTACTCTTTCTGCTTTGTGGACAGGTTGAAGGCTATTGGGATGAGTGCCTTGCCCTTCCCAGCAAACTCAAGGACTGGGATGCCTACAATGACCTGAAGACCAAGTTACAGACATACCTGGAGGTCTTCCCACTGCTGCAGAAGTTGGCATCAAAGGTAGAGACATTTTGTTATTTTGCTCTTCTCAACACTCGTTTAACATTTTTGTCCATTTTCTTGTTCCTTGTAAGATTAGTTACCAAACATTTAATATATAAAAAAATTATAGCAAGTGATGCTGTGAAAAGGTTTGGAATGATAGGACTAGAGAAAATCCATTAATATCATATTGATTTTAACTAATGTAGCTGAAGAGTACTTGACAGGTCCTTCAAGTATGTTTTACAAAGCCACTGACGTTTGGTTTTCTCTGGTAGAAAAGTCTGAAATGTCCTAAGAAAGATAATTTTATGCTTTAACAGTAGACAAAGAGATTTGCCATTTCTGTGCTTCTAAATGAACATTTCAAAAGTCATTACGGTTTTCAATAGTTCATTTCCTGTCTTGTTTGTTCGTCATTGTGACTTTTAATTTTTTTTTTCCTGTTTCCATTTTTATTACTGAAGCATTTTCTCATTCAGTATGCTGCCCTGAGAATGAGGCTTGTTTGTATCAATATGAAGCATAAAGAGTGGGGATGGTAGTATACCTACTTATGATTAAGATATTATCAAATGAGTTGTGAAATTTCTAGAATAACATTTTCTAGAACATCTGGGTCATTGCTTTATAATGAAGACATTTGAGCCAGTAGCTTTTGGTGCCACTTACAATGACACCACAGTGGCATTATATTTTACACCTTAGTCTTTTACAACTTCATACCACTTCTCTCTTTTTTTTAAAGATTAATTGGGATCATCTGATTAAGTTTTTAAAAGTTAACAGTTAATGTAGAAAAGGAAAATGGTCAGAATGAGATAAGAAATCCTAACTTGAACCATTTCTTAACAGGGGAGTAATCGGTTCAATATCAATGTAAGTATGGAGGTCGGCTCAAAGAAAGATGTGCTACATTGTAGTTTTTCCATTTTGTTTTGAAATCCTTGAGTGTTCTGTTCTACGGTTCCTTTTTTGTTTTTTGTGTGTTCAGGTTTTTACTCTTTCTTGGATTTTTCTGCATATATTATTATGTGGGAGAAAAACTCTTTGTTTTCTATTTTCCATAAACATTTTGGTTGAATTTCGTGCACGTTCAGTTTACAATGTGCACACATGTAGGCTAGACACACAGCTTGCTATATTTATTTTTATTTATTTTTGGTTTGTCATTTAAATTTTTGTAATAATGGAAATCAGGGAACAATCTTATATGAGTTATTTTCTTTGCTTTTTTTGTACATTTTTATTTGCAATGATTTGCTAGATTTATGTTCCATGGAGTAAACTGTGTAAATGGAGTGTTCCGTGTTAAGATGACAGCTTGCTTCCTCGCTTTTTTCTATGAGAATTCTTCATTCTTTAGTTTCCTTGAACTTCTTTGGTTGTTGTTGCTACTGAGTGTTGAAATACTTTCTTATTTTGGGTGATCCCTCTTTCATTTTACCTTACAGTCTCATTTCAAGTCCCTACCCTCTGAGTTCCCCAAACTGTCATCCCTGACTTATGAATAATTCCTTTCATTCCAATGTCCCTATTTTTTCTTTGAACAACTGTTTGTCTTCCTGGTGTATTATGAAACTTTTTGTTTGATTTACTTCCCATCTTAATTTGGTGCTGGGATATCTTAATAGTACTAGAGAGAGGTAAGAATAATGTACAAGGCAGTGGACTTACCCTCTGACGTTGTCCATCTACAAATGACATTTTTCAAGGAAAACTAGTTTATGCTGGTTGTGTACCTAAAGGTTAGAAATATTAAATGCTTCACAATTTAGATGCTTTTGCTTTAAAGATACAGGGTGTGATCAGTAGAAGGTTCTCTTGCCAGACTTGCTTTGTAGATGAAAATTTCATTCCAAAGGACATCTGTTTAGAATGGACTGGTTTTCTTCATTTCACTGGTTTTGTTCATTGTAAAAAGGCTGCTGCAGTGAAATTATTGTTGTGAACTGCAGATCAAAATAGAGGAAATGTCATGACCACCATCTTGATCAAATTTGACAGAAATCTGAGGGCTATTTTTTAATTTTAATGAAAAACTACATGACAAAGAATATGTTGTCCTCGGATAATTACTTTGTGAAGTAGAACAATATTTTTGTTGAAACTAGTTTAATGCATTTGTTGAAAACAGGAACGACACTGTGTAGAGTTTGTAAAAAAAACAGAGCCGCAGAATTGTTACTAAAGACTGTTGGACTGCTATGCTTTTCAACATATTATGCATTTAAGCTATATATATATATATATATATATATATAGCTATCAAAAATGTTCCTTGAAGTGGCCTTTTCTGTCTTTTGAGGGGCAAAAGCTCTCACACAAAACGGCAAAGCTGAAAAGAAACGGTGCCAAGTGCACTGCAGGAGTCACTGACTACTGCGACGTTCTCTTTGCTCAACATAATTTGTGGCCTGAGATAGGCTCTTCTTGCTTCATGAGTGTGTAGTTGTATTTTTGCATGACCAGTTGTGCACACTGTGCTTGAATTTCAAAAAAATTAATGAAAAGACACACTTCACATATTTAAAATTCAGATTCTGTTATTTGGCTTTTGGAAATCTGTTTTGGCTCTCAACATTTCTTTTTTGTATGTTTTTTTTTATTACGAAGTGTGGCTGGCTTGATTTTCTTTGACCATTTAGGACTTTTTCTTAATCATGAATATTGTAGATGAATTTCAAAACTTGGTAAAGGTGCCTTGTTATTTATGCACTATGGGGACTCCTGATTAACTTTAATATTTATTCAATTCAATTTCAGGCAATACATATCTCTAAAAAAATTTATATGAATTATTTACTCATTCATGGTTGTTGTTTTTTTGTGTGCTGAAAAATTTACATGTATAGTTTACTATCACGTTTAAATGACTGTTTCCATTTATAATAAAACAAATTTTGCCTCTATGCATTTTTAGAAAATTTCATTTTTCTTTGGAAAAAATAAAGCAGATTATAACTTTATTTTATTAGATGTCATTTGTTAGAGATGCTAGGAATGTTCATGATATTAATTTCACAGGACAAAGAAGACTGTCAAATAGAGGACTCACACTGCTCTTTTCACAATGTGTTTAAGTTAGCCAATTCTTTTAAAGCATCTGTTTAACTCTCCTTTTCTCATCATGGAGTTTTGGACTTGAAAGATATAGTTTATTGTTATGTGCTCTTAAATCTTTGACGGCTTGTAATTTTTTCTTCTTCTTGAGACAAGGGTTCTTGGTTCCCAGTTCTCATTAGGTAAAGTTTGCTGAGCCATGAAGCACTTTCTGGAAGATTGTGAACTAACCGGGTCACAAACATATGGGGCTGTTGTTAAAATTAGATTGGGAAAGAGGGCATCTTTTCAACTTTCTAAAGGTTGAAAGGTCCACAGATACATATCTGAAACATAAGTTGAAAGTGCGGCCCATCAACAGTAGTGAATTTACTTTCTTCAAGTTATTATAGGAGCGATGAACATAAATGAAGACTCACCATCTTCCGTCCTATTTTAACCTTCAGGAAATTCGTAACCGTCACTGGCTTCAAGTGATGCAAGTGACCCACAGCTCCTTCCAGCTGGAGGGTAATGTCTTCAAACTTTGTCATCTTCTTGACATTGGTCTCATCAAGTAAGATCTGTTACCATTTTACTGTAATAGTATGCCATTTCTTTGTGGCTCCAAATAGCATTTGCTCAAACAGTTAAAAGTCTTACGCTTGTGGATCCAATTTTTTAAAGTATGTATCAACTGATAATATTATATTTATACCAACCTGTAAAATTTTAAAACAAATTCTCATATTTCATCTTTTTAAGACTTGGGAAGTCTTGCAGTTTAAAACTTTAGATGCATCATTAGCTTAGTAGATGTCTTGCTAATCTATCGTGATGTGAATGACCCAGCTTCAAGTTCTGAATGGAATATTCTTGAACCTGAGTTGTTCTAGGGAGTTTCGAAAACCGTCCACTCTCTTGGCTTAGTCTTAAAGAGGATGAATGTTGAATTCAGAGGTCATGTCTCTCTAATAGCTAAACCCATTCTGAGATGAAAAGGGATGTTGAGTATTTACTATCATATACATATAAAAATGGCCATACTATAATCTTTTATGTTTTGCACAATAGCATTGCAACCTTTTATTTCTGTAGAATTTATGATAAAGGCTAAAAAAATCCAGACATTCTTGACCTTATGCTTTGATTTAGCAGTCTGTTTGAAGTAACCAATGTGTTTTCCATGTTTCCATTTCAGGCACAAGACTGAGATTGAGGAAATCTGTAAGGGAGCCAGTAGAGAGCTTGAGCTGGAGATCAAAATGAGGGTCACAGAGGAGGAATGGACAGAGCAGGTAAAGACCAGTAGGATGGGATAAGACAGGATAAGACAAGACAAGATATGATGAGATCAGATAATACAATTAAATAGATAAGCTTGATAGAGGCATTGCCTCATCATCATGATCATCATAATCACCATCAGCATCATCATCATTATCATCATCATCATTGTTTGATAAGCCGAGTAGGAGGGAGAGTCTTGTTTGAATTTCAGACAAAATAACATAACAATATAAAATATTTAAAATTTGTTTAATAGCTCAACTTTTTTTCTCTTGGGCTTCCTCAAGAGCAACTGAGAGAAAAACTAAATGTACGCTGTATATTATCATCATCATCATCATCATCATCATCATCATCATCATCATCATCATCATCACCATCATCATCATCATCATCATCATTATCATCTTTATAGTTGTCGTCTTCATCATAGTACCTTTGTCCCACTGACCCTACAGAAACACCAACAAAAGAATCTCAAAATGTCATTGCCTCAAGTTGTAGGTGGTTTTTTTTACTAGCAGTACAGATTATCTTTTTTTTGTGCAATTAAAATGTGTGGACACCCCCTTAGTGTTGCTTTCGCTTGTCAACTGTTGAGTCTTGTTGTGTGACTGTGTAGCTTTTTGCTATTTAAAAAAAATCTGCAGCATGTTAAACATTTGGTAAATATGAGTCGCATTAATAGACTACAGATTTTATTTTATTTACCAGTTATCATTGAGGTAATCCCTTGTATGTGTTTGTGTCAGGTGCTGAACTTTGACCACTACAAAAAGAGAGGTCCCATGTTCCTGGACAAAGCTTTCACAGAGAGGCTCCTGGAGCAGCTGGAAGATGCCGAGGCTCTGTTGGCCACGATGCTCACATCCAGGTGAGTGGACATGGGGAGTTCACGTCACTTCAGTTTTCTAACCTCTTCGCTGCCGCACCTGTAGAATTTATGGGCCTGAACCGTTTAGCGCTGTGCCTATAGCCCGTAGGATTTACGGGACTGTGACAGAGGTTGTTTTGATACAAATTGCAGCTCACCAGATGTTGTAACTGAAGGGACGGTTTTATTTCCAAAGGTTTTCTGTGAGATACTGAACACTTGAAAAAAGTATATTTTTGGAGGAAAAAAATACCTCAATTTTAAAAATTTTTTAAATATTTTTTTAGTAAGATCTGTACAGCGGTTTCTTCTATTTCATTATTTTGACGAGTACCTGATTTCACTGCGATACCACACAAATAGCATTTTTGGAGGAATATATGACTAAGTATTCCCTTGTTAGGTTTATTTTGGTATTTCACTCCATTCCATGGTGCTTGGAGGTCCTACTAGTATGTCCTAAAACTGTTTTTGTCTTTACATCTTTCTTTTTCCATAACACTAAATGAATGTTATCATGTCAATGTGCTTCTCTTTTTAAAAAAATAATTTTTTAATACTATAAATGATTTTATTCTAATATATTTTTTGAATGTTCTATTTTTTTTAAAATGTCATTGTGTTCTCAGATATATCGGGCCTTTGAGGGATGAAGCAGCATCATGGGCGGAGAAACTGAAGGAGGTGGCCGAGGTGCTGGAGCTGTGGCTGGAGGTGCAGGACTTGTGGCAGTATCTGGAGGCTGTCTTCAGCAACTCTCTGGCTGTCAGGGTCAGTCAGGATATATATTCTCTTTCTTGTTTTTGTTGTTGTTGGTTTCATTTTTTGAGGAGGAGGGAGGGGTGGGGTGAAGGAGGTTTCTTTTTCATGTATGAAACCGAGACAGAGACAGAGGGGAGAGGGGGGGAGGGGGGATAGGTGGAAAGGTGGCACCGATGAGAGTGAGTGACGAGAGAGAGAAAAAGTGAGTGAGTGAGTGAGTGAGTGAGGAAGAAGGAGAAGGAGAAAGAGTGAGAAGATATAGATAAAGAGTGAGAGAAATACGGACATATGAAAAGAGTGAGAAAGTGTGTGTGTGTGTGTGTGTGAGA